TATTGTTATCATTATAGTAAGCTGAAATTCTAATTTGAATTAAATAGGAATTTTCAAGTCTCGAAATTATCGGACTTTTTAAACTGAAACACAGATATTTTCTTATTCATAACTTGAATGATATTTAAAAATCTTTTTTTCATCGCTTACATTGCTTACAAAATCATGCTTTTGTCAAAATTTCTGAATTCATCCTTTCACATTTAAATTATATCTTGGATTTACTCATTTTATAACTTTCAAATCTGAAGAAGGGACGGTTTACGAAATTTTCCAGGGGTTGGATGAGTTGGACAACTAAAAATTGCGCGCGAAGCGCAGCGAAAATTTGTATTCCACCCAGGCAAAAAAACATATTTTTGCCTCTTAAAGAGACGTCGCAGGAATAAATTTTTTAATCCATTATTCAAATTGTTTTTGTTTGTTTTTTCCATTTATACCTTGTTTCTCCTTAATAGTTCGACTTTCAGACATTTTACAAACTTTCCAGTTTCCATCCACGTTATAGCTTTTTTTTAAAAATCATGGGGGCATTCATTGACATTCCTATAGTATTCATTGAACTTAATTTTCTTCTTCGATCGTCGACTTTTATTATACAGAGCGTCCCATATCATATTAGATTATCTCCAAACGCGAAAATACGCAACTCGAAAAATCTAGCCTTTTCTGCAAAAAAAATTTCTAATAGCCTTATTAAATTTTTCAATATGATTTATTCTTCTTAAATTTTCTGATTTGTCCCCCAAATCGTAATTTAGGCCCATTGACGCGGTCTAATTTGATGTGGGGCACCCTGTATTATCTCATTAATTTTGATGATTGATAAAATTCAAACCTTCTTTAAAAAAAAACATTTTATTTCCGTATATCTAAGCATGCGTTAAACAAGGATTCTACCCCAATCGTGAAGTGTATATTTGATGTATAGGAGTTTAGTCTTAAAACTCAACCGAGCAATTAAATCCTGTATCCGCCCCTGAATTCAAAAGAATGAATTGAACTAATATTGAATATTGTTCAATAATTTATAAAAAATATGTTTATTTTAAATTAAAACCTTATCAATAACTATCCTAGCTCAGACTAAATAAGACGACATTTAAGTCTGGCAGCTTCAATATTGATTCATAAGTTAACAATCAGCTGATCCAAGGTTGTTTAAAGTCATTTCTACCCGGCACACTCTGCGTGACAGGTCCTTTCGAGGTCACATGCTGTCATAGTAGTTCATGTCAGTAGTTTTTGTCTTATTGAGCAGAATTATTAACTCTTCATCTTTATTTTCATAATTATTTCTTAGTTTAAACAAGTGTCATTCGCGTTTAATAGTGTTTCAGGTTTCTTAACTCGAGGTTTGATTCGTTTGACAAGTATACCATGGTAATTTTCCAGAACTTTTAATACTCTGCTAAAAATGTCTGGAATGATAAATGACGACGAAGTAAGTATTGTTTTTATTCAGTGTTCTTGTGTATTTTCATATTTTATTTTTTGGTCTGTTGCAAATAAAAGACTCGTTGATTTGTTTTAGATCAAAAGTTTGTTCAAAATTTTGACTGACTATTAAAGCTTTAACCTTTTTACAGAAACCTTTATATTATTTAAAGTGGATATTTATATCTTTATATAAGAAAGTTTTCAGAAAAACTTTTGTCTACCACACCCTTTGTCGGGGGGGGGGGGGGGGCACTGCGACTACGGATCTAAATTATGAACTGTTAAATGATTTAAATAAGCTTTTTTATAACCCAACTAATAATTTGAAAGCTGTCGATTTTATTACTATATTTATCATAATATATTATTTGGTAGAACTGATGTTCAATGGAAGCATTATTCTTGATGTCATCTGTCGAATCAATGGAACTGTATTGGCAACAATATCCTAAAACAATGATCATTATTTTTTCAATTCTGAAACATTTTTATTTTTGATAGAATTAAGATTTAAGAGATCTATATTTTGCTGCATAGTCTGTAATATATAGCCGAAATATTTTGTACAGAAAGGAATCAATTCGGATCTGAAATGGCCTCAAGCAAAAGCTTTTCACATGGGCTTTGAGATTGTGTCATGAAATTTGACCCTATTTGCTTAATTTTTATTTAAGTGATCTTTTGTAAGGAAAAAAAGTATCAAGTTTAGATAAAGTTTTGTCTTAAATATGGAGCCTTGAGCACGCACCTCTTCTTCTTTAGGAAAAGTAATCTCAACCTATATGAAGCATAAAGTCTGACCGCGTCAACCTTGTTGCACAGATTAGTCCTGTCCATAGAGCTAGGTACAGTACAAACTGGGACCAGAAAGCTTGACCCGGCGCGGAAATTCATATGTACTACGGCTGCCCGCTATGAGTTGTTAACGTAATTTTATCTGACTCTTGTACGCAACGTGCATTACATGTACCTTTGTATAATCAAGAAAGATTAAGATATCCATGTTTTTTATAATTAAAATTTATTACTTTCTAAGAAAGGTTTTCTAAAAATTTATTTTTGCGACTGAAATAATGGAGAAAATTGTGAGAATTAAACACTTACAGTCAATTTAGATAAACTACGTATCTGCTGCATTATAGATAAGATTTAGTTTTTAAGGGTACCGTTGTGAATTAAGTATCCCCTCTTTAATAAAAGGGTCACTGGAAACAAATGACTGTCAAATAAAAAAGATTTTGTCTCTGTCTTTGACCTGCCATTGTGATTGTTGGTGTTGCCAGACCACCTCCCTTGCTTCCTTTCTTTCCTCCAGGCTTCCATAGCACCAGATATGCTGAAACAAAATAGATATTTAATATCTGTTTCTTTCCTCCAGGCTTCCATAGCACCAGATATGCTGAAACAAAATAGATATTTAATATATCTTTCTTTCCTCCAGGCTCCATAGCACCAGATATGCTGAAACAAAATAGATATTTAATATCTGTTTAGTTTTGAAAGATGATTTTATCTTTTCTAGTAATGTAGAGTTTTTAATTGCTAAAACAAAAAATATTTATTTTTCTGATCATTTGATATACTGATAGGAATAAGAAATGAATCTAAAAATGAAAGATTAATGTAAGGAAAATAATTTCAGGAATTCAACATTTGAGTTTTGGTTAAAAACGGGGGTTACACCCAGGGGCGTATTCAGGAATTTTTCCAGAGGTGGGGGGTTCAGCACCCGTTGGGGCCTGAAAACCCCCTGAATTCAATAGATTTCACTGGTCCAGGGGGGGCTTAGCCCTCATAGCCCCCTCCCCTGAATACGCCCCTGGTTACACCAAAATTATTTTTCAAAAACCTTTAACTTTTGCTTCTGCTCAAAACTTAAGCTTTTCCTGAATTAAATTTTACTGGAAATATTGTGAATCCCAATCTTACCTTAACATTATACAATTCTCCTATTTGTGAAAACATTCCGGCAAACGCTTCAGTATTTTTATAATCTCTCATTCTGATTGCTTTAGCCCAATAGTTCCCCCACTCTACCATAGTTCCTGGTTTCAGATGGTAGGACCGCAGCTCATATATGTTAGAACCATTCCTAACATTTTACATTAAAGGGAATATAGGCGTAATTTTAAGTCACTCTCTTTAGAGTGACATGTCCGATCTCTTTAGAGTGACAAGTCTCATTCCTTTAAGAGTGACATGTCCAATTCCTTTAGAGTGACATGTCTGATTCCTTTAGAGTCACATGTCCGATTCCTTTAGAGTGTTATGTCCGATTCCTTTAGAGTGACATGTCCGATTCCTTTAGAGTGACTTGTCCGATTCGCAAATGTACCCTTTAAACCTTTTTCTGGTGAATGAATAAGAACTTTTTAGGAAAATTGATATTTTTTGGAAATGGGTTTATTTAATATATATAACTAGCTGAAGGGGCTGGCGTTGCCCGTGGGGGAAAAAATAGATTTTTTTGTCACCAACAGGTCATTCACGAGTGTCCACAAAAAAAAATTAAATTCGGTCCAGCCGGATATAGGGAACATATATACGAATGTCCTGTTTTTTTTATATAGTTTTACATTTTTGGTATTAATTGTCAATGAAAGGTAGTGTTAGAATTCGACATCAAAATTAAAAAAAAAAAAATATCTTCCTTATTGATAGTAGATTCTCTAATATTGAGGGGGGTACTATTGTGAATCAGACATTTCACTAATAGAATGGAAGGTCACTTTTAATTACAAGTTTTATTTTTTTGCTATTGTTCAATAAGATATAAAGAGGTTCGCATCAACCCTGTCAACGGGGGCTAAGCCCTCTCTGAAAAACTTTTTCGGCATCTATAGGGGTTAAAGCATTTATGTTTAAAAACTCCCCCCCCCCCTGGACAAATATTTCCTCTTTGCCCCTAAATAATGATCTGAATTGAAATTACCTAAGTTCAATATCTGGCCAGTAACTAAACTTGAGAAGATGTTGACTGTGCCTGCTGCGAATTAAGGGAAGCAAATCCCTCTGTAAAGCTGCGAATTCTTTGCTCTCCGCTAGAAATCTGAAAAATCCGTTCTTAGCATATTTTTGCAATATTTGCACAGCAGGAAATTGATGAATTACTAGATTTTTTATCCAGTTCCGGATACCATTCTTTGTGAAGATTTAAGCTAAATAATTTTTGACCATGGCTTTCTTGATATGGCTTTACTACAGATTCTGTTAGATAATTTTTTTTTTTTTAATATCTAGATTCTTTGAGAAAAAAAACGTTTGAATTGATTTTTTTGGGTCAAAATTTTATTTTTAAAATTAATTATTTTAAGTTTTACAAAATCATCTGAAACTGATGATTTACTGACTTGATATTTTCATCTAAATTCTTGTATCCTCCCTCATATCTCCAAAGGTGGATAAACTGATCTTGATCTCCAACTAAAACCTTTAAAAAAAAAGTAGCATGACCAATTTATAACCGTACCTTTAAATGCTATCCATTTTTATCTCTTTAAAAATCAAATATTTTAATCTATGTCTGGTGTAAGTAAAGGGTACCGTTAAATGGAATGTATTGGAAATTATGACATTTTCTTGAATATATACAGAGTGTCCCATATCATATTAGATTATCTCCAATCTTTAACACCAAAATAAACCCTTAATACTCGAAAAACTTGTATAAGCCTTATGTTATTTTTAAAAATTATTCATTCTAATGAAATTTTCTAATTAGCCCCGAAAATCGTAATTTAGACCCGTTCTCGGTCTAATATGATGTGGGACACCCTGTAGTTGTTCTGTTAAAAAGTTTAGATTGATTTTTGAAAACTATTCTAACTTAAATGAGAAGTATTATTTTACTCTTAAATACATAGATCTCTATACTTACGTTAATAATTAATTTGGTTTTTTATTTTTACCTGAAAATTTCCAAGACATTGCCCGTGTAGCACTGAGTTGTTACTGTTTACAAATCCTAAATTATCATTTGTTGATTTCAGTCCTTATTTATTCCTTTTCTTTACTTTGCTATATAGTTTATATTCCTTCCTCTTCCTTAGGTTAGTGTTATTAATGCCATATAGCTTACGCAAACACAAGCATTTTCACCCCTTTTACTAATGCATTACCCCCCCCCCCACACTTTTGATGATTGTTTTTTTTCAGGAGTAACAAAAGAATGATTTTCTAATTCCTATAACGCCTTAATCGCTTAATGGTTTAAACTGTTGATATTATAAAAGACTATTCTAATGGTCTATTTAAAGAGGGACATACTCGGTTTAACTAACAAACATGGATAAAAAAATTGATGCTAGATCAGACAAAGCTTTATTGTAAATCCGGCATTGCAATCTTGACACGGAGGTCCGGAGGATCACTTGGAATTACGCTGACAACTAGGTTTAAATTTTCTCATTTTTTAACCGTAACTTTTCTAGGTATACCCCACTCATCCTATTTTTAATTTATAACTGACCTATAATGTTTTCTGTTGTTTTAAGATATTTGTCAAGACAATCTGGTTTCACGTTGTGGGTTACTAATTCGCATATTCTCTCTTTGTCACTCAATTTATTAGAATGGGCGCCAGACTGAACCTCAACCTTAAATAATTATTTATTTTATTCAATTTTGATGGAATTTATCACACCTAATATTTCACGTTGTAAGGTGATTAAGTGACCTTATAGCCCTACAACAGGGCGGAAAGTAACTTTTTCACTTTGTTATTAAAATTTCAAACATACCTAGGTGTTACCCGGTAGGATGGTTGGTTAATTAATTTTAAAGCTCTTGGGCTCAAAAATTAAGAGTAGGCAAGAACTCCTAAAAACTTATTTATTTTCTATAAATATAATACAGGGGATGCAGGTTTTAAACCTTACACTTTATAAAATTCTTGACCAAATCATTGTATAAATTACCTCCCCCTGTAATACTCGTTTATTTTTATATTAGATTGTATACAACAGATGTAATAATTGTTTGTATGAATAGTTAATTCTTATAAGCAGTTTTTACCCTAATTCTTATCACATAAAATGTTTTAAAGTAACCGGCTAAAATAAAATAGTTATCTCTGTAAATCTAGAAAAAATCTTTTTACCTTTTTATCGAAAAATCCCGAGAAGAAACTCTTTTCATTTGTTTGTTTACTTGTTGCGAGTTGGCGTACTGCAGACTGTACACTCTGTAGTTTTAACACTTTAGATGCGTTCATTTTGGAAAATGTCTAACACTCATGGAAAAGAACGATTGTGAAGAAAGTTTTGCCTTTCTACCTGGAACTTTTCCAATCCCTCCCCCCCCCACCCTGCCCTCCTTTATTGACGTAATATTGTGTCCTTAAATTAATTTAATTTTCAAATATCAGAAAAATTTATAATGTTTTGAGAACACTTTTTAGTTGTAAAAGCTTTATAAATATTTGATCGTAATAAATTATTTTTTTTCCTGTTATTATTTCAACATGATTGCTAAACCCGGATGCCTCCCACTTATTATTGTAATTGAACCCAGTAGATTATTACCCCCCCCCCCTCCCCTTCCCTTCCCTTACCCCCTCCAAACAATATTCAATAGTGTTCTCAGTTATATAAGTAACCTGGCTCTATGATAAGATATTGATATTAAGTATTTTCTTACTCGAGCATAATGTCACATATTTTTTGCATTTTATCTTTATCTGAAAAATGAGATTTTTTGTACACCCTGACTCTCCTGGCCGTCTAAAAAACTTGAATTCGTCCTCAACAGTCTTTGAAAATTCTCCGGGGTATAGACTTGACTCTTAGGAACCTTGCCAAGTCTTCTAGCTTTTTTCAAAGGAACATTCATTTTATAAAATTTAAAATTTGAATAACAAAAATCTGCGAAATTTCTTACCAAAAATCCACAATTTTTTTTTTTCAATGGGGAAAATGATGTGATTTAGTCCCAGAAGTGTACATTTATCTTGTTCAAACATGGTCTGGCCTACAGTACACGATAATGATGAATCGGTAGGCAAGATTTTTTAGTTAATAAGTTGACAAAAAACAGAAGCATGGTCGTACACATTGTTATTGTTTTGAATGCAAGATAAAGTGGTACTTTTAGCGCACAATTATGTTCAGTTTACAAAACTATCTAACTATGTCATGCAAATGATAACTATAAATGGCTAAAGGGGTTGTTTAGAACAAGTTAATTATAAAATATTTTCATGTTGTCAAAAAATATTTGATCGATGTTTCCCTGTATTCTGAAATACAAGTTAGATCAAGTTTTGGGAGCAAGATATTAAATCAATAAAGGGGATGGTGGAGATTTCTTATGTGATGTAAGGGGTGGGGGTGTGGCCTGCCTTTATTTTTGGTTCAAATCTTCCAATTTTCAAATCAAATGACCTCTAATGACCTCCACAAATAGAAAATATTTCAACTATGACTTTGTGCATATCAAACGAAAGCTGGGAACCCAGTGAATACTGTAGCAGCAACAAATCCAGTGTTTCACCTTCTATTGACCTCAAATGACCTCTAAAATGAAATGTTTTAATTATGGCTTTATGCATATCAAACAAAAGCTAAGAATCCTAGGAATACTTTAGCAGCAACGAATCTAGTGTTTTGCCATCTTATGACCTCTAACGACCTCTAATGACCTCTAACGACCTCTAATGACCTAAAATGACTTTTAAATGTTTTGACTGGCTTTCAGCATATGCTTTATAAAGCCTTAGTAAAACATTTTTATTTGGGAGGTCATTTAAGGTCAATAGAGGTCGTTTGAAGTCATTGGATATTCAGACACTGAATTCATTACTGCTTCTGTCTTGCCTGGGTTTTTAGCTGTCGTTTGATATGCATAAAGCCATAATTAAACATTTTCAATTTTGAGGTCATTAAGAGGTTGTTAAAGGTATAAGAAGGCCAACCACCGGATTTGTGACTGCTATGGTATTCCCTGGGTTCCTATAGCTTTCGTTTGATATGCATAAAGCCATAGTTGAAATATTTTCTATTTGTGGAGGTCATTAGAGGTCATTAAAATTTTATTTTATTTTAGAAATTTTGATCACCAANTACTCAATTTACTCATTTACTCAATTTACTCATTTACTCATTTACTCATTTACTCATTTCTACAACAAAACATTTCTTTATTTTACAACTTAACATTTGATAATACGATTATACTTTTAAACATTTATTCAAATGATAAATTTTAATATATGAATAATGAATGAAAAACAAGATAATAATATGCTTCAACTTTGAAAATTATTTATTTTTTGCGCTAACCTTTTATAATTGCATTAAGTTCAGATTAAGAACGTGTATTCAAAATCAATTCCAAGTCTCCCTGAAGTATAATTGGGTATTCATATAAAATATAATCGGGTATTTATATTAAATCTCGTTAATGTAATTAACTATATCTAGAGTATCCTGTAACTTATGGATATCTAAATGTATCTATATCCTTAGTATCCTACAAATTATGAATATATATATATCTCTCTAATCTAATGTATGTAAAATAAAATATCCCGAAACTTATGAATATCTACACTGTGCAGATATCTAACGTATTTATATCTTGTATCTTGGAACCTATTGATATCTATAGATCTCTAATGTTTCTATATCTAGAGGAACCCAGGAAGGAACCTATATGGATATTTGAATATCTCACTAATATACATATTATCTATATATAGAGTATCCTGGAACCTGATGTATAAATACCTCTCTAAAGTATCTGTCTAAAGTATCCTGGAGCCTTTATGGATTTTTAAATATCCCACTAATATATCTATAATCTATATTTAGCGTATCCTGAATATCTATATATCTCTCTGTACTAATTTATATATTTATAGAGTATCCTAGAACCTGTGGATATCTATATATCTCTAATGTATGTATATCTAGAGTATCCTGGAGCCCATGGATATCCCTGCAGCGCAGAGGATGGCTGCTAAGGCGAGCACTACGTTAGACTACGTGAGCAACCTCGATATCTATAGCAAGGCCAACAGGTAGATATTTAAATTATTTATATTTCAATGATGTGGAAATAAAGCTTTCTTAGTTAAATATGAAATGTAGTTTTCATTTTCTGTACAATCCTCCCATCATTAAATAACTAAATTAAAATGTTTCGTTTTTTTAAATATCTTGATGGAGGAATTAAAGAAAGGGTAACAATGAAAGAAAGTCTTTAAAGCCTCATCCTTTGTGGGTAGTGCTGTATTTTGCACAACATATCTTATATAACTAGTCACCGGCTTTTAATATTTTAGGATGCGTCTCTCTGGTATTGTGTGCACTATCGGCCCTGTGAGCAGGTCCCCGGAGGTTCTTCTTGAACTCATTGAGAACGGGATGAATGTCGCCAGAATGAACTTCTCTCACGGGTTCGTACAGCTTTTTTAAAGGGATTGCTTTTAACCGATCCTTTACTCTTCGATGAAAAGTATATTTTTTACAAATCAACGATCAAAAGAGAACGAAAATATTGTTCTTATAAAGTTCGATAGTTTAAAGTACCATCGTTTGTCTAAAATGTGTTTAATGCGTAGAAGTAATTTTATCAATTTTATCATGTTTGGTTCACAAAGGGACCCTTTAAAAGTTTGTCTGACATGATATGGAAGGTATGATCATTTTCTATTTCTAGAATTAAACCCCAATTGAAAATAAATTAATTTGAAAAGAGAAACATTGATAATATGTTCATTCCTGATCAGACAAAGTTCTGAAGGATACTGTTGTGATTCAGACATATCCGTTTTTAATTTTAATATTTTATGTGATATTTTTAGATCTCACGAATACCACGGTGGCACTATCGCTAACTGCAGAACTGCTGCCGCTATGTACAAGGAAATTAAATCAATTCTTTTTAATTACAGATATTATATGTAAATATATTTTTGGCTTACGTTTCTGCTTTGTTTTTATGCAAGAATTGTTGCCTAGGGTCAAATTATGAAGATAGATTTTGATATGATTTGATTTTCCTAAAGTCAATTTATAAAGATAGATTTTGATATTATTCAGGTTTTTGTTTTAACATTTTATAAATTTGCACTCTGCAGGTTACTTCAGTTTTGGCTTTTTTGATTCTACAAGTTGAAATTGTTAGCCAATGTTTTATCATAGATATATTCTTTTAGAAATGGTATTACAAAATTTAGAAATAGATTGAATGTATAAGTGTCAAATTATTTTTCAAATAAGCCAATTGAATAACGTATGATTTGAGTCCTGTTTTATGTTTATCTAAATAATATCTATTTGAATTGGTTTGGTGTTGTACAGGAGAAGCATGGTGTTGATCCTTCCCTGGCTATTGCCCTCGACACCAAGGGACCTGAAATTAGGACTGGACTCTTAGAAGGGGTGAGTACTAGTAATACAATAGTAACTTCGTTTTCATCATGGTAATTTAGGCAACAGGTTACATTTTTAATTTCCCTGTGCACTAGGAACTCTTGAAAAAAAAACTACAATAAAATTTCTATATTTTATATTTGGACAATTTTCTTAAATATATGCCAAAACTGAGTCAATACAACTAAGACTAGAAAGTAGGAGTGAAGATACAGGATACTAAGGTGGAAGTGAAAAAGTGCAGCTGCAGGAAGTGGAAGAGTTGTCACTGCTTGGTGAAATATTCTGAAAGATTGCAAGGGTATATGTTAAAGATTGGAGGTTTCTGGGTCTGCATGAAGACGGAGGAGTTGAGAAGGGTTTAGTCGACTCTGTAGGAAACGGCGTGTCCGGGGTTAAGCTGGACAGTGGTGAGGGTAGCTTCACGAGCAGCGGGGGCTGAGACAGTCTCTGTCTCAGCACCATAGGTCAGAACAGGTGCGCCGGCGTAGGCAAGAGCGGGTGCTCCGGCGTAGGCAAGAGCTGGAGCTCCGGCGTAGGCAAGAGTGGGAGCAGCAGCTGATACAACAGCTGTGGCGGGGGTAATGTTAGCAACAATCTGGGCAGGGGCAGCAGCATAGACTCCAGCTGCGGCAGCATATGGGTAGGGGAGTCCGTTGTAGACAACCTGGGCATCACGTCTCTTTCTCTCAGCAACAACAGGTTCTTCCACTTCGGCGGAAGCATCAGCAGCAACAGCATCAACATTAGCAGCAACAGCAGCATCGAAGGCCGCCTGGAATTGAGCTTTAGCAGCAGCAACCTGAAAATACGAATTGTTAGGAATGATATGAGTTTAAGATTACTAATTAATACCTCAGCGGTTTCCTCAACAGGGGAAGGTCCGACTAGAGCAGCGACCTCAGGGGCAACAACAGCAGCGGGAATGTTGGTTCCAGCAACTCTGAATCCATTGATGGGATCAGCAATGTAGTTGACAGTCTGGAGGAGACCATTAGCGTCGACATACTGGTAGGAGCCCTGGGTTACCCCATAAACGTCTCGAGACTAAGATAGTTAAATAATTAGAACACAAAAGTAGAAGTGAGTAAATTAAGATTTTTGTTAATACTTGGAAGTTGAAAGGGAGATATTTTGCAAGCACTACTTAGTACTTTCAAGGGAAATATTATTTTGATTGTAAAAAAATATATTCCAAAAAAAGTATTTAGGGAAATATTTTGCTAACTCTTCAAGGGAGATATTTTGCTGGTTAACGAAGAAAGATATTTTGCAAGAAAATGAAAGAAATGAAAGATATTTGCAAGAAAATGAAAGATGTAATCTCCAGGTCAGGAAGGGAGATATTTAGCAAGTAAATGAAGGGAGACATTTTGCAAGTCTTAAAAAAGGGGAAAATTGTTTTAGGAAACTAAAGAATTTGCTGGTAAATAAAATTGAGATAGTATGCTAGGAAATTAAAAGGAGAGAATTCGCTAGCAAATGAAAAGGAGATATTTTGCTAGCAAATGAAAAGGAGAGAATTCGCTAGCAAATGAAAAGGAGATACTTCGCTAGCAAATGAAAAGGAGATATTTTGCTAGCAAATAAATAGGAGATATTTTTCTAGTAAATATAAAGGAAGATATTTACCTCAGTTCTGGCAGATGGACCACCGGCATATCCAAAAGAAAATTGTCCAAACTCATCCTTAAATGCCAGTAGTTTAAATGTCGGAAAGGTTTATGACTGTCGTAAAAAATAAGAACCGGGGGGGGGGGGCCTGTTGTTTATTCATTAGATTAAGTTATGACTATCGTTAAAGAAAGTTCACAAGAAAGCTCCTAAAACATTTTTTATTATATTCCATCGTAAAGTATAAATTTAAATCAGAACTTTAATACAGAATTCAAAATTTATAAATAAAATAAGATTAAAAGTTATTTCTACCTGAGCATGGAACTGATGAGATTGTCCTGGGTTGACCCATGCGGGGTTTACAAGCACCTGAGCACTAGTAGCGCACACGCAAGCTGCCAATACAACCTAGAGCAATTGAAAGTCAAAGCAAAAATGTCCAAAAACAAATTGGCTGAGGGAAGGGGGACAAAGGGGGCGATGGTTTTTATTACCCAGAATAGCCTTGTTTTTACCTAATTCACATTTTAATTATCTCCCNCCAACACTCATAATTTCATCAAAGAGCTCAAGGTACTAAAAACTAATTTCATCAAAGAGCTCAATGTACTTAAAACTAACTTGCTTAGATTTATACATTATAAATAAAGATTCACCAGGCACTCTCCACCTTCATCTTTGTTGTGTTAAGTATAATTTAGGTTTGGGAGGAATATCAACCAACTCAGAGGTGCTGATGTATCTTTCTCAGATTTATATTTCTATGAAGTTGAAAAAATTACTGATTAAATGAAAAAAGAGGGTGGTATAAAACATTTGAATTTATTCTTCGTTCTAAAATCCCCCCCCCCACACCCCTATAAAAAGGGAAATATGAGTTATAAAGTTCTATAACTGCTTTCATTTAAATTTAGAAATATTTAGCTCTGTGTCCGATAAATGCGTATAGACAACTTACCAGACCGTTCATATTGAGTTCTCCGCAAAGACTGTGCGCGTTTTGATGAACCGCGCGTATTTATAGTGTCCTTGGATTGAGCGTAAAGGTGTATACCGGCAACCAAGAAGTTGCTTTGTTCCCTCCATAGAAAGCATTCGGACGAGAAAGGGGGCGGAGAGCCCTAGAAGGGAGTTAGTTAATTCCAGTCTTTTCTATTCTTTTATTCCTCTGTTATCAGTTTGATTTTTTAATTACTAGAATTGCTAATCCTAAAATTATTTCGGCATTTTTAGAATTTAGTTTTACCTTGTGCTTAAAGGTTTAAAAAATTATCAAGTAATATTGTTTTAATTAAGCTTCACTAAAAATATATTTCTTCGATTACCCCCTGAAATATATTGATATAAATATAATTTACAACTGTACCACCACCCGTCTCCCATTGTACAACTACGCTCCCCCCCCCTTAAGTGCCCCTGTAATATCTGATCAATGTTCTATTAAGGGTTGTCTAGTGAACGTGACCCTGCGTCAGGTTGACTCTTAATCAAAATATTCTTTTCAGACAACCACGGTCAAAACTAACTATAACAGTACTAATTCTGAGCTGAAAACTTTAGAATGAGATATCATTAATCACGATCGCTTAATCTGATTATCCAATGTATACATTTTTGATTTTCTTCTTTTTGGATATTTCTGCTGTATAAAAGGTTCGTTTGATAACAATTACAGATACAATGCTTTATCGATTGGACTAATATCGATTGAATTAAAGTCACCTGTTCACAAGACCGCTTTTAGAGCATTTACACAATTATAAATTTAATCGTGTTTATATGAAATTATTAAAAAAATATATTTTAGGACTATTGTCGTTTTGAACGTTAGTCTTAATAAAAATTAACCCAAAACATACGTTCGTTCAATCGATGTTTAGTTCAATTGATATGACACCATCAACACCAGAAATTTAAAGATTACATCTTAACATGGCTCGCTGATTGGTTAAATTTTTAACTTCTTTCTTGGATTTCTAAAGTTTTCAGCTCTGACCATATTTGGTAAACAAAACCCTGTTATTTAGTTGACTGGAGCAATTTCCTTAAATACAGCTTTTTACTAATTCTAAACTGCACGTACTATGTTCATTGTACATAGTTTTAGCTTCAGGTTAAAAGGAGTAATTGGCAAACGAACATTTTGGTTTACTTATAGACAAGCAAGAACTATGACAACATTTGTCGCCCCACATCTATTGGAATTTTTATAGGTTACGAATTTCAGACTTGCTATAAAACTCTAAAACCAATATACATGAAATAGTGATATTCCGGCACAAAGTATCCATAAAAAAAAGATTGTTAAATGAATTCAATGTAGTTTTTTTTCACGATAAAATTTAAAATTTTGACCGAAATAAACATTTTAACTATTTTTTTTCTGCAAAGAACTTTTTGACGTCTGACTTTATTAAATACAAAATCTTCATAATTATAGACCATGCATGTTTAAAGTCGAACCTTAAAATCCACAATTTAAATTTTCTATTAATTAAAAAGTGAATGTTTACTTTTAAATAAATGAAATTAGTGGTTACGGTACAATTAACATGAATTGTTAAAATAAAGGTTAAATTTGAGAAGAAAATCTGTTATTTGACTGATACCATGGATCAAAGAACACTGATCCTTTTTCCTATCCCTACTATTAATAAATCAGGAATTCTGATCGTCATTCTTTTAAATTTTTAAAGAATTTTGTCTCTTTTTCCTAGTTTTAATAAAGCAAGACGTTGCATTTTTCTTAATTAGGGAACTTTTTTGTTTTAATAAATCTAGATCGGTTACACTCGTTCTCAATCTTTGACAAATCCATGCTTGCATAGGAAGTATAAATTAATACTTATTAGGGGACCTAAGCTTGGTCTAATCTTGAACATATGATCACTATAAACAATGTTGCACACTGTTAAATTCGAGAATAGATGCTTAATCCCTCACTTGAAGTTATCCCTGCAGGATATGACCGACGCAAGGTATTAAATAGGATTTAATTTAAGATGGAAAAGAATAATGGAGTCCGAGATTCACAACACTTGTTCTGACGTTTAGTCCGAATTCTCCTATCCTCTTCTAATACATTCGTAAAAATACCCTGTTTCTATTTCTTGTACTGTAATCAAAATCTTTAAATTTATAACTGTCGCAGACCTTTCAGTCCTCGTCAAAATTAAATATTTTTTATATAAATTTAAAATGTCGAAAAACATTTATTATTATTATCAGAGAGTCTTATCATTTTTTTCCTGTATATAATTAAATCTGAAATCCACATCAGAAGCCTGGCCTTGGTCTGATTTTCTTTTCATGATTCGTATTTTTAGTCCTGGTGTTTATCCTGTATATATAAATCTGTGTCGGGAGCCTTGATTCTTTTTTCTCTCCATAATTAATAGATCTGCATTTGATGTCTGGTTATTTGATTTCCTGTCCTGTAATAATAGCTCCGTATTAAGAACCTCGGTCCTATTTCCTATCCTGGTTTTAAATCTCTACTATGGGCACTGTACCCAGGTCTTACTATCCTATATTGATAGATCCGTAGCGGTAACCGGTCTAGGCGTGCCCTAGCATCTCTAAACTTTAAACGCGAAAATTTAGCATTTTATGATTGAAGAGTGGATTTGCAGACGAGCTTGAGTTCCAGGGTTAGATCAGATTTAAGTTATTTTGTTTTGAAAAATGACATGTTATGCATCTTTTTATTGAATTTTAGAAACAGGAGTATAATATATAAATTTATTTTTCTCATTCTACTCAATTACTGGTCTATGTTTCTATGTTTTTTTATGTTTTTTGTTCTTTATTTTTAAATGGTGTTGTTCGTGGTTTTTCCTTTCTAATAGTATGAATGGTTTTTTCTCTCTAATTTTAGCTGTTTAAAAGACCAAATCTGTTGCCCTTATTTATTGCTTATTAAAAAGACAGATTTTTTGGTAACGGTTAAGTTCGAAATTTTGAAATTTTCATCCATTTTTTATCCCCCCCCCCTTAACTAGCCTTTTTTTGCGCTTATAATTAAAAGTTTCAGCTTAGTATACAATTATAAAAGATTTAAAAAAATGATTGAGTCGTTGCTGCAAAGTGTACATTTTGGTCCGTTCTTGGATGATTAGTATTCTAAACCAAAAACAAACAATAGATTTATTTAACTAGACAAACAATCCAGCTGCCTCCTGCAATTTATCTCATTGTCAAACATAATTTTATATATCAAAAACTTTAATTACTCTTAATTGCAGGAAACTGGTTAAATATCTGAATAAGATTGTATTGTTTCAACAGTACTTTCACCTTACCTGGACCTCCTATCTGGCAATAATTTAACTCCGTATGTTGAATTTTGCAAAATTGTGATAAAATACAGTTTAGTGGTTATCGTGACAAATACTACTAAAATTGGAAGTAAAATGTGATAAAACATGTTTTTAAGAATATTAGCTGGTTTCCTAGTATCGTCTGTACTTACACGTTTATTTTATCATTAACAACGAAAGGAAATGAGTCATTGCCACTAACTCTTGGATTTATAATCCCAATATCTTTGCAACCCCATGCCGTAGATCTTAGATATTTCAAACTATGAATTCTATTGCATAAAAAATCCAAAGTTTGAATTATTAAAGGTTTACACCATCACGCTGCAAAGATATAGGGATTAAAAAATTCGAGTTTGTGGCAATGACTTAAATCCTTTAAAATAATTTTAAAATAATTTTTAAATTTCTAATCCACGCAATCTCTTTATTTTCCTCCTGCAAAATACATGAAATGAAACTGGATACAAAGTTTAGAAAAGGATTGCTATGAAAACTGTTTACAATCCCTTTAATATTATTTTTAAATGTTAAGGATGACGGTAGGAAAGAGGTTGAGCTGAAAGCAGGAGCAACTATCAAGATTACAACTAATGATGAGTTCAAGGAGAAGTGTTCTGCTGATATACTCTGGTTGGATTATAAGAATATCACCAAGGTTAGCTTTCCAATTCTTGAACTTGAATACAGTATTTGGACGAGAATTGCATTGTAACATTGATAATAATTATATCTTTGTATAAATTCGTAACATAGCTAGGTAAAAAAATAAGAATGCTCACATGCCATTCAAATTCAATTCATCTAAATTTTGATCTCGGAAGAAAAGAATAATCCGCGAATTTTTGCATCACACCTTAAAATTGTTTAAGATCTGATCCCAACTTAAGGATCCTTGGGAATGTTTGAATTTAACGAGAACTTTGCATTGATACCTCTCAGATTATTTCTTAATCTGTGCAAGTTCATGGCTAGGTCTGGTTTTAGATTCATTTTTTGTTCATGTTTATAATTATACAGTTATAACCAAAATTAAAGATTGAATAAAGACTGGTGATTGATCACGTGAACGCATGTGTACCGCAAACTAGTTTCCTTTTGTGAACCTGTCGATTAACAACATTTTGAGATTGCCGTACCAATACATTGATTAAAAATCCGTTTTAACCTTTTTTCAATAAGGCTATTTTTTAATAAAACTTTTTGTGTTTTTAAGTTTTAAAAATGAAGAAAAATAAAACATGGGACTTAAAAACCTGAAAGGGAAGTAAAACCTACCATAATATTAAATACATACATACATATAATACTTTTGTTTCTAATGAAGTGTGCATTCTTTCCGTAGACCAAGCATCTTTCTCGGTCACATGACAGATAGTTGTGTATCACTCCTTGTATTCTGTATATGGACTCAGATGTCACAAGGTTTACACAGTACATCAATATAAACTCTGAATATCTAGGTATTGACCCCTGGTAAGAGGATCTATATTGATGATGGTCTGATCTCCGTCCAGTGCAAGGAGATCGGTGACGATCATGTGATCGGTTTGGTTGAGAACGGAGGAAACCTGGGTAGCAGGAAGGGTTGCAATCTTCCAGGTAAATCTTTAAATATTAAGAAAAGGTCCGAAATTATTGAGGCCGAATTGAAAGAATTAGAGTCGCGGCTTAAATTTAAGCCGCCGCTGAAATTTGGTTGGTTCCACTTAAAATTGTATTAAATTTTTCAAGATTAAGGCCGGCGCTCAAATGATACCGGTTTTTGGGGGATTTGAGCCGAGGCTTAAATTCATTAAATTCGGACACTAGTTTCTAAACGAATAGTTTATATTGATTCAGTTTAATATATCATCGACTTCAATACAAAGCTATTAAATAGTTTTCGGAAAAATTTCGTTTTTATTCCAGAATCTTAAAAGCTGTTGAATATCTTTGATCTTTGATTTATGATGTTTAGGAACTGATACTGATCTCCCAGCTGTATCAGAGAAGGATAAATCTGATCTTCTCTTTGGAGTTGAACAGGTACTTTTTCTTCAGCAATTTTTATAAACCGTAGGACCCAGTAAGCTGTGTAATATGAAGACGATATTCAAGCATTCTTAATAGTATTTCTTTGATTTCAAGTAGTTAGGTTTACCAGTCTGGTCATTAGGTTAACGGGTTTGTGGTTTCTGTACACAATACATTTACTTAGTTTCATGTCTCTTGGACTATCAAAATCCTAGCGGTTATCTCTTTATTTTACAGTTTTACGGGTCCCACTATACTGTACAGCCTATATATATTTAAAGCAAAACTGGAAAATATATTTTTTTTCAAACTAAATCTTTTTATTCAAGCTCCACCAAAACAGAGGCCGAATTTAAAGAATTTAATCGCTGGGGCTTAAATTTCAGATGCGGCTCAAATATGATTGGTTCCACCAAATGTTCAATGTTTCGAAATTTATGCCGGCGCTCAATTGAAACCGTTTTTGGCAGATTTGACACGGGGCTCAAATTTATTAAATTCTGACTCAGAATTGTGTACATTGTATTTAATATACACTATACAGGGTGTTGATATGGTATTTGCATCATTTATCCGTGATGCTGCTGGTGTAGCTGAGGTTAAAGCTGTGCTAGGTGAAAAGGGTAAAAATATCTGGATTATCCCTAAAATAGAAAACCAGCAAGGAGTTAAGAACCTAGACGAGATCATTGCTTGCTCTAATGGACTCATGGTTGCCAGGTAGGACTATTTATGATACTTCTAGCGGAAACTTCTTCTGAAAATAAATGTACAGATATGACTGGGGTGAAGTGTCAGAAAGTTGTATTGTTGAAGGAATATCATGACTCGATATCTTGGGGTGGCGAGTATAGTAGCACTTTTCTAAAATAAAATCTTGGAATTTCAAATGTTATTGAGAAGATGAATCCTGCCCATCTACTGTTTGCCAATATTATCTCTTAAAATGTTATTGAGAAGATGAATCCTGCCCATCTACTATTTGCCAATATTATCTCTTAAAATTTCTCTTTCTACAGTCTTGTGAGGGGGGGTGTAGGGCTGTAAGCAGTTGTTGGATAAGTGTTCCCCTGGCCCCCCACCATTGGTTGCATATCTGGTCAAATACATCCTACTATTCATTTATCTTAGGTTGAATACACTTGATGCTATTTAATGTTTTTAGAGGAGACATGGGTATTGAGATTCCTACTGAGAAGGTCTTCATTGCTCAGAAAGCTATGATAGCCAAATGTAACAGGTATTTTTTTTAATTTGAATAAGAATAAAGATGTCACGTTGTTAAGCAGAAAGATCGATTTCTGCGTGTTCTTTGTCCGAGCTTAATGAATTTTAAGCCTCGTCTCAAATCCCCCGAAAACCGGTTTCATTTGAGCCTCAGCTTAAATCTTGAAAAAATGAATGCAATTTTAAGTGGAACCAACCATATTTGAGTCGCGGCTCAAATTCTTTAAATTCGGCCTCTTTTTATGCTTTATAAAATGTTGATCTTCTTTTATCTAGAGTTTGACGTTAACGTTGTATTGTCTCATATCAACCAAAAAATCCGTTTCTGTCTGGCAGGATCTTGTATTTAGATTTTACACTATTAATGGGGTTGAACAGTAAAAGATGATATATTTCTAATTATATTTAGAGCTGGAGTTCCAGTTATCTGCGCTACCCAGATGCTTGAATCTATGGTAAAGAAGCCTAGACCAACTAGGGCTGAGGCTAGTGATGTTGCCAACGCTATTCTTGATGGATCTGACTGTGTTATGCTGTCTGGGGAGACAGCTAAGGGGTAAGTTTTCACGGTTTAAATGCAATTTTTGATCGGAACTTTTTTTTAATTATCTCATTATTCAGAGATATAGAAAAATAAGTTGTGATTATATTTTTTTATAGAAAAATAAATGTAAAATATATCATTTTTTACTTCCAGAGACTTCCCGTCAATCTGTGTGCAGACCATGGCTAAGATTGCCAGGGAGGCCGAGGCTTGTTTGTGGAATGAGAGGTTCTTTGAGGATCTCATGAGAGCGGTAGGCTTTTTCATTTTGTATATTTGAATCATAGTAGTCGAAAAATTCTTAATTTTGTTAAAAAAGGGAATTTTTTCTTATTTAATTATTTGAGTTTAAGGTCGCCATTGTAAATCGGTAATACCTGTTATATGGGGAGATTTTAAACCAAAAAAAATCTTTGTTATTTTTGGAACCAGTGCAGTGGTTATTAGGTTACAGATGCTTTAAACATTTCTTTGTCATTTAATGCGGAATCTGGAGTAAAACAGTTTCTAGTTTTCTAGATTTTACGCTTATTTTTATTCTAACATTAAAATTTCAAATCAACAATGTAGTTAAGTACCCTTCAGAATAAAGAAATGTTAATTCAAAGGGTAAATGGGTACAATTGTGAAAGATCAATTGCACTCTTAAGATTAAGCATTTTTCACGTTCTTCGAAATTTTACAACTATTTACACCAACAGAGACCGAATTTAAAGAATTTAAGCCGCGGCACATATACGATTGGTTCATTTAATTTAATTCGGCGCTCAATTGAAACCGGTTTTTAGTGGATTTAAGACGCGGCTCAAATACATTAAATTCGGACACAGGTGTCATAGTTTCAACTTAATTAACATGAGTAATAAGACTCCTTGGTTTGATTGTTTGTATTAAATATATTAATTCATGATTTCTAATGACATTTTATTTCAATTCTGCTATTGGCGTGTAGGAGTATCAAGTAAGATTTGTCTCTAAATATTTGTGGTTAAATATATATTCTGTTTTCACATGTGGTCAATATTTCCACTTTATGTTCTTATGGTTAAATGTCCTGTTTATCTTATATTATTTTCTGTTCATATTTCTAATTATGAGCAAAAATATTTAAACTCATTGTTAAATATTTCCAATTAATTGGTTGTTAAATATTTTCACTTATAGTTAGATATTTCAACTTTTGGTTGAACATTTTATTTACTATTTATAACAATGTTATTTGGTTCGCAGTGTTATTAAGTTTTCTTCATTATAGCTTTAGCGAGGGACAAAATATTTATTAAAAAGGCGAGAACCTTCGCGATATAGAGAAAATTTAGTCCAAAAACGTTAACGCACGTCGTATCAAAAAAAGTGTTAAAGGTAATTTTATGAATTGTTGTGTACTTGTCTTATTTCAATGGCCATTCCTAGATCAAATAAGCGCTGAAACAAAGCAGAAGTCAAAATATAATGTTGATGAATTTTATTTTCATTTCAAAAAAAAATATTTTGGAAATATCCTTTACAAAATTCGGGAACCAATGAAAAATTTATAGAACACGTGATATAACGTACAATATAATTCAGCTAATTTAACTTTATAGAACAATTATTACTTTAAAGCACGTTTATTATGAAATTCACTATGAAGTGAGCAAGAAAGTACACAATAGTTTTATAACAAATATTTTCAGTTCCTGTTTAATATTTCCACTTTCTTTAAAGATTTTATTAAACTATTGTGTATTCAATCATACTTACTCACTTCATGGTGTATTATGAACGACGAAGGTGCTATAAAGATATCATCGTGTTAAAAAGTTACATTAACTTTAAAGTTATGATTGGTTCCCGGGTTTTCTCCAAAAAAAAATAAGTATATTTCCAAAATATTTGTTTCAATAGAAATGAAAAATAAAATTGAAATAAACTTATTTTTTATTTCTGCTGTCTTAAAAAGCTTAATTTATCTAGTAATAGCCATTTCTAAGACAAGTGCACAAACTTTTCATAAAAATTACCTATAATACTCATTTTGGGGATGGTGGAGATGTCTTACTTGATGTATTTTATTTAAGATAGCTCTCTAATCACGCGTGCAGCCAAAAATTGGATGATTTGAACCGAATATGAAGGCAGGGACCCCCCCCCCCCTCTACATCAAATAGGACATCACCATCCCCTTTTCTCATTTTTCTCAAAGGCTTGCACATTGTCCAGAACTGCGAACCAAAATAATTGTGTTGTAAATAGTTATTCCTTGCTTTAAAATATCTATGGTCAAATATATATATATATTCGTCCTTTTAGTTTCACTCACTTGCAAGCGAAAATATTTAGCTAGTTAATTTATGTTAAATATTTTGGCCAAATTATTTCCTCTTTTATTTACTTAAATTTTAAAAAAATTTATTCATATTTTGTATGCATTCTTTACATATGCTAGTTAGAAAATTACAAACACAACTGGTTTTCTTTAATAGATTAAGAGATGTTAAATTTTTGTAAAATTTTTATTATTTTGTCTTAATTAAGTTAACTATGGGATGAATTTCCGTAATTTGGGCTGCTTCTGCTTATTCAAGGTGTAATGTTGCCGTATTTAGTTAAAACGTTGTCCCATTATAATTGAAAATTTTTTCTATTGAAGGAGAGTACTGTTGAAGGATATGATAGTACTCACGCTATTGCTATCAGCTCTGTTCTAGCCAGCTACAAGTGCAGGGTAAATATTTAACACGCATTAAATTATAAAAAGGCATACTAAGTTTTCAATATGTTCTTGATTAACTAGACTCAGTTACATCATTGCTTATTCTTACAGTAAAATTCTTTGATTTTGGGACACCAGATAGTACAAAATTACGGTCACCAGATAGTACAAAATTACGGTCACCAGATAGTACAAAATTACGGTCACCAGATAGTACAAAATTAAGTTCACCAGATAGTACAAAATTAAGGTCACCAGAAAGTACAAAATTAAGGTCACCAGATTGTATAAAATTAAGATCACCAGATAGTACAAAATTAAGTTTACCAGATAGTACAAAATCAAGGTCACTAGATTGTACAAAATTAAGGTCACCAGATTGTACAAAATTAAGGTCACCAGATAATACAAAATTAAGGTCACCAGATAATACAAAATTAAGGTCACCAGATAGTACAAAATTAAGGTCACCAGATAATACAAAATTAAGGTAACCAGATAGTACAAAATTAAGGTCACCAGATAGTACAAAATTAAGGTCACCAGATAGTACAAAATTAAGGTCACCAGATAGTACAAAATTAAGATCACCAGATAGTACAAAATTAAGATCAAATCCATCCTAGCTGAGGCGCGACTTTATTTCGAATTTTTTTTCAAAAACATTCTTGTTTATCGAAACCTCATTTAAAACATTAAATTAAATTGTTTTAATCATGTACAGGCGAGTGCGATTGTTGTACTGACTACGTCTGGAAAGACTGGTCACGTGATATCCAAGTACAAACCTCTCTGCCCAATCCTTGCAGTTACACGTCACGACCAGGTACATACATTTATATTTTTATTTTTTTCAATGATTTTGTTCAACCTCTGAAAAATTTTAATTTTTCTAGTTAATTCGGAGATAAAATGCATAATTCTCGTAGATTATTCTGCTGCTGATCCTTGTTCTCTGATTCATAAAGATTAGTTTTAAAAATGTATTTGTTTGAAATACTGGAAAAAGGTTTGCGGAGGGTTGACAATTAATCCGTTTGTAGGTTGCCAGGCAGATGCAGCTGTTCCGTGGGTTGACCCCTCTCCTTTATACCCAGGACAGGGACCAGGACTGGATGAAGGATATTGATGCCAGGGCACAGTTTGCCATTGACTTCGGCAAGAAGAACAGGTTTGTTAAATTATTTTTTGTAATTTTTTCGAAACATTTGCTTTGGTTGGATTATATAATGCATATAAATACCAGGAATACCAGTGTGTCCCATAATACCAGGGTGTCCCACATCATGTATTGTTGAGCTCTAAATTGGGACATCTATATCTCTTTTGTGTGTGTATGTAGAAAAAAAATTTACGAAACTTTGGCCGACTTATCTAAAAATTTTATTGATGAAATTGGTAGAGCTCTGGAAAACTTCCTAGTATGGTAAACATTCTAAATTTGGTTTCTTGTTTTTATTATAGCTAGTATCAACATATTTATATAGATTATATGATAATGCACAATTGTATAAGCCTAATAAATTCATGTGGAAATTATGCAAGGTTTGATAAGTATTGGCTTATTCTTACTTTCGGATGATTTTTAAAGATTTATGACATGTTAATTTCTGATGACGCTGTTCTGTTCAGGTTTATTGCCCCCGGAGACAATATTGTTATGATAACTGGATGGAAACAGGGATCAGGATCCTCAAACACAATGAGAATCATGTAAGTTCAAATTTAAGGATGCTTAAAAGTCGAATATCCTCATAAATATTACGTAGCCCCCCCCCCCCCTTTGATTGACTATACCAAAATTGTGGAAGAAGGATTATCAAAAAAAAATAAAGGATCAATGAATTAATAATAAATAAGCATAACTCTGCTCTAATTTCAACTATTTCTCTATTTTCACCTATTTCTTTATTTTCACCTATTTCTCTATTTGCAACTTCAACTCCGCTCTATTTTCAACTATTTCTCTATTTTCACATTTTTCTCTATTTTTAACTTTTTCTCTATTTTTACTTTCTTTCTATTTCTATTATCTCTTTCATAGTTCCCTAATTTCTACAATTCCTACATTTTTTTACAATTTGTTATACTGGCATGCAAAGTAAAATCGTAAAAGATTAATTATGCCTGCAAAATAACCCTCGCGCCACTCCCTAAGTAGCTGCTTATTTTCGCAATCTTCACAATTTTATTATTTTTTTTACATTATGCTGGATATTTTATATTTATTTCTGAATTTCTCAGGCTAAATTTTTTTATTGTTTTGTTTGCAGAACTGTAAAATACCAGGGGATGTAATCCCGGTAAGGTGTCCAATCAAGTGTCCTTTTTTAACCCCTTTTTTAACTTTTTTTAGTTAGATAAAAAGGAGACAAAACCCCTGTTTTTCTGTTTATAACTTAGTTTTACTTTCATTTTTTGGTCGAATTATATTTTCTGTCGGAGCAATCTCAGGATTTTAGAATGGTGTTTTTTTGTGTTTTCTGGGAATGGTGTTGGGGGTGAGGGGGGGGAGGTAGCTTTAAAGATAAAGGGAACCAAGGACCGGGTGAATATATAAACTGATTATCTAGTTATTTAAATGTTCACACCATGCTTTTTATTTTTATACTGGATTATTAAATTTCCTTCAATATGCTACCTTGCTTGAATATTTTTATTTAAACCTCGTGAAAACCATGTTTTTTTTTTAGAAAAGTTGAGTAAGCATTGATGTGAAGCAGTGGCGATATATCCTTCCTCTTGTTAAAAGTTTTAATTTTATTAAGCCTGGATCAATTTTACCAAATCCTGGTCTTTTAAGCCTGGATCACCAGATCCTGGTTTGGCTTCAAAATTTTATTTCTTGTAGAAACAATGTATGTATATGTATTCGCCAAAATAAAGATTTTATCAATTAATTGTTTTTTAAATATTTTCTATTTATTTACGCAGATAGAATTTTTTGGCTCAAAGTAAGATCTGTATGAAATAAACTTTTTGATTCCATTTTGTGTTAGGTCTAGGGACCTAAACTTACATCTGTAAACATTGAAGATAATTGATGAAGATTTCTTAGTTTCTTTATCTGTCTAATTGTACTGCCCTTTCATTCGACATAGATATTGTTGCGACATTAGCCTAATTAGATTTTTGTAAACAGACTGCTAAACCAGTTTTAAGCCCCCAACTGTTACCCACACCATCCTTTCATTCGTAGATATTGTTGCGACATCAGCCTAAAATTATTTTTTGTTAACAGATTGTTAAACCAATGTTTAGCCCCCAAAACTGAGTTTATTCTGTATTTCAAAATTCTTTTTTTTTGTACGGTAATTAAATTTTCTTAACAATTGCAACCAACCCCTAAAAGTAAAGAAAGTCTTTGGCCACTTAGCCATGAAGATTAAAGAGCTAGAGCTTAATCTGAAACTCGTAAGTCTTAAAACTCGTGTGTAAATCTAATGGATCCTGCCAATACTTGTTTATAGTTTCAGAGAAGTATGATAAGGATTTAACTGAGTTTAGTTAATGTTAATACACTGTGAAGAGTATTATTGTTGAGGCACATTTAGCCGGAAGGTGAGAGGAATGGGAAATATTATTTTCATTCATTTAATCAACTTTTTTTTTAAATGGCGCAATATTAGTTATTTATTACACGAGTCCTAAGTTACCTCTTTCTTGAATATTATTACATCTCGATAACAGAATTCATTGTGATAGTTCGGAGAAAATTATTGTTTTTTCCAGCGTCTGACATAATTTGTGAATACAATACAATCAAATTTGATGTCGGGACTAGGAGATGGTTGACACTAAACAGGACTTTTATAAAGTGTATAAACGGTATTCATCAGTAACTGAGAAAAACTGACAAAGCAAATCTTAGGTTTTCTAATTGAGCATTTATAATTTACACTTAGGTTTTTAATGCAGCAAAGACAAAGAAGGAATTTGGCATATTTCAACTTGGTTGCAAGCATTTTGATATGATCTTACGTTGCTAAAGGAAAGGCAAAGAAAGCTGCAAAGTTGTTTCACTGTACACTGCAGAGCTCGCAGAGCGTTTAGTAAAGTTTAAACTGCCAATATTTAGATTTTAACATTATTTATTTAAAGTAGTGACTAATAATACAGTTGGGATAAGATTTTAGGGACAGTAGGAACTTTTTAGGGACAGTAGGAACTTTTTTTAAAATTATATTTCTTACATGAATGGTTCCCTGCAGGTCAAACAAAACCAGCTTCTTTCGATTCAAAATTATTTTGTAACCATTGAAAATACTAAATTGAAAGCTGCAGAAATCCAAACTGAAATGTAAAATTGTCCTGTCAGAGTTTTGGGTCGTCATCTCATCCGGGATGAGATGTGGCAATAAATTTCAAACTCCGAAATTCAAATATGTATTCATAGTTTTTAGATACTTCTAATAAGAATATTTAAACAATTTGAGCCGCGCGCGGCTTAAATTTGAGACACGGCCCAAATATGGTTTGTTCCACTTAAAATTGTATTACATTTTCAAGATTTAAGTCAGCGCTCAGTTGAAACCGGATTTTGGCGAATTTGAGACGTGGCTCAAATTCTCTTTTTACTTTTAGTAATAATATCTCATCTAAGAGATTGAAAAAAAAAATCTTAGTTTACAGACAAAATATCGTAATATCCAGAGAAAATATCTTAATTTTCAGACAAAATATCGTGATTTACAGACAAAATATCATGATTTTTTGACAAAATATTGTAATTTCCAGACAGAATATTAGGATTTCCAACCAAAATATTGTGATTTCCAGAGAAAATATTGTAATTTCCAGACAGAATATTGCAATTTCCAGACAGAATATCGTAATTTCCAGACAAAATATTGTAATTTCCAGAGAGAATATCGTAATTTCCAGACAGGATATTAGGATTTCCAGAGAAAATATTGTGATTTCCAGACAGAATATTAGGATTTCCAACCCAAATATTGTGATTTCCAGAGAAAATATTGTAATTTCCAGACAGAATATCGAAATTTCCAGACAGGGTATTAGGATTTCCAGAGAAAATATTGTGATTTCCAACCCAAATATTGTGATTTCCAGAGATAATGGCTGGATTTCTAAACCTTGTAAGTGGATATTTCTCCATACCTTGGCTATTAATTGAGGTGAGATCATGGTTTAACAAATATTGAAACAAAATTTATTCTTCAATTTGCTTTCATTACAAGACATACTGAGAAAGGAGTCATCAATTGTTTAAATTAAAAAGAACTGGTCACTGAAGCTTCTCAGCCATGAAATCATCCTTTTTTAAGAAACGTAGTTGTCAGAATTGTAACTAGAGGGGAATGAAACATTTTATACCATGTATTTTATACCATGTATTTTAAACCATGTATTTTATACCATGGATTTTATACCATGGATTTTATACCATGTATTTTATACCATGTATTTTATACCATGGATTTTATACCATGGATTTTATACCATGGATTTTTTACCATGGATTTTATACCATGGATTTTATACCATGTATTTTATACCATGGATTTATACCATGGATTTTATACAATGTATTTTATACCATGTATTTTAATACCATGTATTTTATACCATGTAATTTATACCATGTATTTTATACCATGTATTTTATACCATGTATTTTACACCATGTATTTTATACTATGGATTTTCACAAGTATTGCTTCTTCTTTTAACCAGGAAATGTGCTATTGTCAACAAAAATAAAATCAAGGGCGTATACAGAAATAAATTTAGGGAGGGGCGAAATTTTCTTTCCTTCAGGAGCTCCTGGGGGGGGCAACATTTAAAGTATAAATTCAAAACATTTGGCCTCTTGGATACTTTGAAGGTACACATACAGTCCAATTACCCTGTACTACTTAATCTCCTTCAAACAAAACTAGCGGGAAAAAATAGCAAACTAATTTTTTATGTTCTTTACTCTTCAGTTTCAGTTTTAGAGTTCTTGGGGGGCTACACCACCCCCCCCCTTNACATGACGCCTTTAAAATACTGCATTCGATAAAGGTTTTCAAAGAAAAATTAACTGATTTTTGAATTATTTTTTTCATGTTTCATGATCTGGGCCAGATAAATCAATTTTTGTTGAATATTTATTACGTTAAATTTTAACATATTTTTTATGTTAGATGTGGAGAGAGCAAAGATTAAACTCTAGATATGGGAAGTTTAGAGGCAAAGTTGTGCTAGGTTAGCAATATTCTATTCAAAGGGGGGAGGGGGCAACAAATATCCACGCCCCTTCTCAGGTTCCGCCAAGGAGTAAGGAATAGAAGGGAGATATAACTGACGTAGTCCGCCCTACCATATAATTATACATCCTTTGCAGACGGCTACTCCATTTGAATAAGAAATATTCAGAATAGGTTATTGTATATGCGGTAATTGTATATCAGACATTTGAATTACAGACTAAAACATCTTTTGTAATCTGATAATATCGTATAGAAAAAAAATTAATAAAACTTTGAAGATTTCAAAAAATTTTCTAAATAAAATAAATATAGAAAAGCGATCCAAAAACTATTGTTACAATATACGAATTAGTTTAATCATCTTTTTGGAACGTTTTTTGGGTCGTTTTTTTGGGTCGTTTTTGGATCGTTTTTTTTTTGAATAATTTTTTGGATTGTTTTTTTGGACTGTGTTTTTGGGTCATTTATTGGATCGTTTTTTGGATCGTTTTTTTGGATCGTTTATTGGATCGTTTTTTGCATATCTTCTGCCAAGGACTATATTTTACAAAGTTAAAGTTTAGAATAACAAATTTAGAAAAAATTTGCTACTCTTACATTATGCTAAATTTTGAACCTGAAATTTAGTTACTGGTGCTAGTTTTGGCATTAGTAGAGATCTATATATACAGGGTGAGTCAAAAATTTTGTGTGATTTGCGGCGTCTGGTGCAAAATTGTACCTTTTTTGTGCAACTCTCCTGTAAGGTGTATTTTCAATACTTTTTCAAAATTTTCATATTTTTTTGGTACTCCAATGGCCCAGAAAAAATCCGCGAACCTTTTTTCTCTCAAAATCAAAAGTTCAGAAAAGCAAAAATGTGCATATAAATTATTTCTATAGAAACCTAAAAATTTTAAGGATTGAATCAAAGAATCACAGAAAATTCGCAAAATTGTAATAAGAAAATTCGCAATTTTCAGTTCTGGTCTAATTTTTAAGGAAAGTTATTTAAATTCTCTAGTTCCTTTCTTTTTAGTATATTCTAAAGTATTGAATATACGCTGTTCAGTTGAAACCTTCAGAACCATTGAAAAACAACTTTTCCTTAAAAACTTTACTAGAACTAAAAAATGCAAATTTTCTAATTACAATTTTAAAATTTTTTTGAGATTCTTTCATTCAATCTTTTTAAAATTTTAGATTTTGATAGAAACAAGTTATTTACACATTTTTGTGTTTCTGAACTTTTGATTTTGAGAGAAAAAAAGGTTTGCGGATTTTTTTTAGGGCCATTGAAGTACCAAAAAAATATACAAATTTTCAAAAAGTATTGAAAATACACCTTACACCTGAAAAAAAAACACCATACAGGAGAGCTTCACAAATAAAGGTACAATTTTGAACCTATATATATATATATATAAATAAAAATATATATATAATGTATATATATATTTATTTATTTAGTGACTGGTGCTAGTAGTGGTATTGGTAAAGAGCTAGCTAAACAGCTTTTTAAACAAGGAGCTAAACTTATCCTGGCGTCCAGGTAAACTAAAAGTCCAAAACCTTTATATTTTCATACTGTTTAAAAACAATATTGCTCTATTGTTATTCAAGATCAGCATCTATATCTGTCCAGATGAAAATTTAAAAATGATCGTTTAATCTTTTTTAGTCTTTTTTTAAGATTTTTATAAAACTTTCAACATTTCAAAACTTAAACTTGCAATACTTATCATAAGAAAAAATATAAAGGGAACCCGAACGAAAAACAATCGTCTGTGGATCAGATTTACTCCGTTTTTTGGTTTTTTTTTTGCATACATTTTTCTCTCTGGGTCAACATTTGGCATGGAACAAGAGAGGCAAATTGTTAGAATAAACAATTTGAAAACTTTTCAGAATTTTGAGAACTTTCAGAGTCCGAAAACTCAGGAAAACTAATCAAAAACTATTAAAAAAAATCTAAGTGGAATACATTGTAGTAGAATACTTATGAAATTTAAATATCTAGGTCGACAGAGAAATTGCTGGAGCTTCGGGACGAGCTGAAGAGTATGCAATGTTCAGTTCCTATTTATGTACCTGCAGTCCTGACAATAGACTTAGAACAAGTAATTTATCGCAAAATACAGACAAGGCATTAATAACTTAGGACAATCTCTAATTTTCTAATATTTGTCTAACCTAATGCAGTAAACCTTTGATATTTCAAACTATGAATTCTAATAGATAAATTATTTGCAGTTTGAAACATTAAACATCAATAGGTTGTACTCTTAAACAAAATTTCATTATAACAGTGCTTTTAAAATAATCCTCATGCCATAATTTTATATTAACTGTAACCTTAAATTCAAGATGGTTGCCGGATATTTTAGAATACATTTTTAGATCGTCGTCTGTAAATGGTAATGAAAATTGAAATTAACATTATTTACAGCTTTGTAAACGAACTTCCACAATGTATTAAGACAACTGCACAAACTTTTCATAACATTACCTTTAACACTAATAAAGCTCGGAACAAAATATAATCTTTTAAGGCTTGATCCTTCTAATCCTTCTTGAGAAACTTTATACCACAGCAAGTGCAAACCAAAATAGTTATTTCTTAAACTAACAAGGGAGAACAAAAATGATCATGTTCTTTAAAGACTGAGATTCTCTGTTTGTAAGAAATGAAACTATAGATTGATTTGTCTTATGATAAGGGGGGGGGGGAAATGATTTTACATAATGAAGAAAAAAAAATTGGAACAAACATGTCAATCTCAATACAACGAATATTTTTAAATTTTTAATATTCCAACCCCTTTCTTTAACATCATTTTGTTCAAGCCAGGGGTATTAATGTATTTTATGAAAATATAACCCCTGTATTATATATTCATTATTCAACTGGAGCGAAAAATCTTTACAAAGCTTTATTTTATCTCAAGTGTAGAGAGAAAAAGATGAAGGGGGGGGGGCAGACACCATTAACTGTTTTTTCTTCTTGATCATATTCATTTAGCTGAAGAAAATGATACATAACACAATACAATGTCTAGTTAAGAATAAAGAAAAAACAAAAACTACGCAACAAGGGATGGGGGGGATATCTAGCCAAAAGTTGGTTCGTTCATTTCGCTAATTAGATCGACCCCCACCACCACCGTATACACATACATCTGAACAGTTTGTTTTTTAACATTCGTGACAGAAACAATCTTAAGGAATAATAATTGTCTTAAAACATTTTTAAAAAGTGAATATTTATTTGCAAATTATCTTTTTTCCATCTCATAATCTGAGTTCGTTTCCCTTTTGTTCATTTGACAGCCCAATTTTTTTTAAATAATCTTTTTTGTTTGTTTATTTTCTTGTGGTTTTAAACAGTTTTTTGGTTTATCGAGTTTGATGGTTATTATATCGTTAGAACTGACGAGGGTCAACCCAGACCGAAAAATATTTTCAATAAATGTGGAACTAACATCTACTTTTGTTACTCTACAGAGGTTTGGTCCATCACCATTACCAAATTTTAAAATCAAAGTTTATCTTTGTGCTCCCACCTTACGAACGGGCACCCTGAAGATTTAGTTTTTTTCATGGGATCCTTGAAATGGCAAAGCTCTTTATCACTCGGATTAAATAACTCTGTCAGTTGAGAATTTATTTGTAGACAGTAATAATAATAATAACAGTTGATAACTGAAATATGTAACAATATATGAAATATATACGTACAATAGAGGTATAAAAATACAATTTATAAAGCGCCCTCTCATTCTTTCTGAAAAAAAAGTATTCTGAAAGTAACATTTGTTAGATATTAGTTGAATAGTTATCATGGTTTTACATTAGATTCATGGTATATATAAAATAATCTTTAAAATTTGCATCTAAGTTTTAAGAATGAATTTTCATTTGTGTGCTTTTGAAGTTTTAAAGTAAATGCAGATTGAATCTTGTTTCTTCATCTTCATGTTGAGCCTTGATACGTCTAACCGAATCGTCTCCAACCTGTATACCAGAATTTACAGGGGGCATACTAATATGAGCCCCTAAATTCCTGTGTCGAGCCCAGGTAGCTTGCAAAACTCTGTCCAAGCCCCGCATTTTGCTTTTCGAGCTCTGATATTTACTGTTTTTCTTTATTTGCTTAAAATTAATTTGTTGGGATCCATATAATTCTCTTTATATTTCTCTATGAAGGTGGGCGAATTGGCTGGGAAAAGTAAGGAGGCGTGGCAATTATTTGGGCGTGTTGATATCCTGGTGAACTGTGGTGGAATGTCAGTGAGAGGCGGAGTAGTTGATACCCAGCTTCATGTGTATAGGTGAAATATCCATATTTAAAACATATAAATCGTTATAATGATATTTATTTTTTATTGAACTTTTAAAAATCAAGGTTTAATTTTAGTTTTGTTGCAATCATGCACACACATGGGAGTGGGGCCCATATAATTATAAGAAAGCGCGACATTTTAGCAATCTTTTGTGTATTTGATGTAGTTATGAAGCAATTAGTTTTAACAGTTGCTTAAAAATCGGCTAAATAAGTAAAATGGGTCTGTATAGTGTAAATTGCACAATTGCTTGCTTTCATGGTACTATTTAAAATCATAACTTTAGCTCTCTCTTTCTTATTCAATTTTATGAGTTCCACTAAGGGATCAAGGTTGTATAATATCTCCCCGGGTAGATTAGAAAGAAACCTTATATGACGTCACTTTCGTCTCTATAATCAGTGGCATTATATTAGGTTTTTATCTATCTATCTTAGAAGACGACATATGTTCCGTACAATTAGAGCGCATTGAGAACCTAACCTTATTATACAACCCTGTGCATTAGATCGCATTGAGAACCTAACCTTATTATACAACCCTGTGCATTAGATCGCATTGGGAACCTAACCTTATTATACAACCCTGTGTTGGATCGCATTGAGAACCTAACCTTATTGTACAACCCTGTGCATTAGATCGCATTGAGAACCTAACCTTATTATACAACCCTGTGTTGGATCGCATTGAGAACCTAACCTTATTGTACAACCCTGTGTTGGATCGCATTGAGAACCTAACCTTATTGTACAACCCTGTGTTGGATCGTTATTTGAAAACTTTTCATAAGTAGGGTTTGCTTTTATCAAACTTTGCATTAGTTTTATCTCAACAAAAAATTGAAAAACTGTCCAAAATCAGTTTTCCAACTATTCCAACTAATAATTTTGATTTGAAGTTATTGGACATAATTTTCCTATTTAGACGATTGATGGAAGTAAATTATTTTGGAAGTGTAGAGTTGACCAGAAATATTGTCACGGTAATTATCTAACTTAAAATAATCTTTATTCGGTTTAATTGAAGGCCGAGTTGGCGAATTTTCAAAATCTAAACAAAATGAAAGTTAAAGGGTGTGTTGTCGAAACGTTAAAGGGGGTTTCAGGAAAAACCACAATTTATTTTTAAATCAATTGCATTTTTTCCAATACTGTCAAATTTTTCAATGACTAACTAAAACATAGGGTGGAAATAGTAATGAAATCAACCAACAGGCCACTTATTTTCTTTGCGCCAGTAAATGCATGAAATAACTCCATCAGATAAAAAGGAATCATACAGTGATAACCAGAATACCGTGGAATAGGAAGTTGACATTTTAGCGATACTCAAGTAAATTCGATAGTTTTAGAAAGCAAATAGTTTTACCAGTCACTTTTTATGTAGGGGAAATTGGTCTGTTTACACTGCACAATTGCTGGGTCTACTGGACTATTTATAACCAAAACTTGAGTCTAAAAGTCGTCTTTTTCAGAGATATCTGGGTCCCACTGTATATGCTGCTTTTGCCCCCCCCCCCTTCCCCTCTACTCTAATAATTAATTTCCTTGTTTATTCTAGAGAATGGTTGAAGAAGGATGTGGGCTTGTTGTGAATATCTCTAGTATTCAGGGGCAGAATATACAACACAAACAAATATTTACTTTCTTATTCCCTCTGGAGACACACAGTAAGATTCATAAAACCGTGGGATTGGAAAACGACTTTTAGACTAATTTGAAAAAAAAGAAACATTTCCTGTTTTATGTTTAATCTCAAGCTATAAACCTTAAATGTCTTCTTCCATTTTCACAGTTTTATGGGTCTCTGTATTTTATATTCTATCTATATAATAAAACAAGACATTCGTATATATATTCCCCATACCGGCCAAACGGCTGGACCGAATGGGCTGAAATATATGTAGGACACTCATGGGGTAGCCTATGGGTCCTCGGGCAACGTCGGGCCCTTAAGCTAGTATTCTTTTATTTTATTTCGAAAATTTTTACAAAATATGATTTTTCTATAGTGAACATTTTACAATTCCCAAAACATAAAACTTTCCCCTGCCCAACGTCCCATAACCCTGGGAAGCTGCGTGCGTTCAAGTGCTTTTTACAGGGTTACCCACAAAGGATGAGACTGTCTGTTTCAATCATCACATTTATGATTCCTTGAAACTGTAAACTTGTTTCTCTCTATGCCCAATCATTGAATAAGCCATTAAAGACTTAATAAACTACTAGCTTGGGAATTCCAGCGTTGCCCAGGTTACTCATGTTTAATAACGCCGTTTACCCGTACTTGGTCGATTTTACTGGGAAACTAAATTTTCAAAAGAAAAGTCGAAATTAGAATTTCAAAACCAAGTAAGAACATATCCGTGGTTCTCCCGAGGTCCCCAATAAAAATTTGAGACAAAACAGTCACTAGGGGTTACTGAGTTATGATAGGACAAACAAACAGAAAGACAAACAAAGATAACAACTAAACATATATATAGGATACAGGGCAGAAGATTTAATTCAACCTTGGGATCTTCCTTTCTGAAGAGTATCAATTCGTCTTTACAGTCTCATCCTTTGTGGGTAACCCTGTAAAATATATACTCCTTTATTTACTTAGACATCAAGCAAACAATAAACATGATTTTCATGAATAGAGACAAGAGAGGTCTCACAGAAATAGATGTTCTTACCTTTTCAGTCATACTTTATAGATTTATATATTAAAGCCGTTGCGTTGTGCGTTTTTTATAAATTACGAGCTATTTATATCATACAGATCTAACCATAAAACTCTGGAATAGGAAGTTGACTTTTATACTCAAGTTATGACTTTAAATAGTCCAATGAACATGAGGCACAGCAAATCAGCAGTGTAAACAGGCCAAGTTCACTTAATGATTTATATAATAAATAACTATTTAAACTAGATCCTTTGTAATAACATCAAATGCACTTTTTTAAAATGTCGTCTTCCTACGCCACAGTTTTTGGTTATCACTGTATAGTACTCATATTAAGTAATAGGCTTTTGCACGCCCTTTTCTCTTATCAATTTTAGCTTTATAACAGTTACTCTGAAAGACGTCATTTTTAATTGTTCTCAAATTTTCGCGGAATTTCCAAAAATTATTAATGTCGACATTTGCTCAATATTTCAAATTTTTTCAACATAATCCCCATGTAAGGTATGTGGACCGTAAAAGTTCCAATATTGTATTTCTAGAGGAAGCGTAAAAGATTAGGGATAAGCCAAACCTCAGTTTTGATAAAAAGTTTGTGATTGGTTTGAATAAAGGGATTGATAAGTTTACCTGATAGATCAGCTTACTCAGCCAGTAAACATGCGATACAGGTAAAACAAGTTTACTTAAAGGGACTGTTTCTGTTTTCAGAGAGATTTTAAAAAGTAAAGAAGACAGTTTTGGGTAAAGCAGTACAATTAATTTCTAAATTTTTACAGTATCAGCGAGAAAAAAGCATCAAGGTTGAGTCAAATAAAGATAATTAAGAGCATTAGTCTAAACATCTGTAGGAAGGATTTTTAATCTTCTTAATTATTGATTTAATTGCAGGCGTTCTCAGATAGTTTAAGAGCCGAGGTTTACAGTGCTGGAGTTCGAGTTTTAGGTAAATTCTGCCATGGAAAGAAAAATCAATTGATTTTGTTTGTTCATATTTTTAGCTGAAAAGTTTATAAAAGGCTTCTGGTTTTATCTTTCTAATACTTTTCTTTTGTTGATATTATTGTAGTTGTGTCTCCTGGGTATTATTGTAGTTGTATCTCCTAGATATTATTGTAGTTGTATCTCCTAGATATTATTGTAGTTGTATCTCCTGGATATTATTGTAGTTGTATCTCCTGAATATTATTGTAGTTGTATCTCCTGGATATTATTGTAGTTGTATCTCCTGGTTATGTGAACACTGAGCTATCGTTGAACTCTCTGACCTCATCTGGAGAGAAACACAACAAGCTGGACCCGACAACACTAAACGGGTAGAATAGATTGAGCTAAACACTTGCCTCAAGCTCTAACCCTTGAATCCTAATATATTTGCAACCCTTTTGTTGTTGACCTTTGATATTTCAAACTAGATTAATTCTGCTATAGATAATTTCTTTTCAAGTTTGTAATATCAAAGGTATATAAATATCATCAGGTTTAAAAAATATCGGGATTAAAAATTAAATTTGAGGATAGTGTTTAGTTCCTTTGTGGGATTGAAAGCTTTAAATTCCACAACTTTTAAAATTCGAAAAAATGATAATATGAAGAAACTATAAATAATATAATATGTCATGACACAAATATTGATAACTACAAAGCTGCATAACCCCATTCGTGAATCCCGGGTTTCAAAACTGGTTTTTATAACGATACCAGCTGTCTTAAGTGTTGGGCTCTTTATTTTAATATCTTAAATTCCTGTAAAACGCGTTGTACGCTGCAGGTTTCAGTGTTAATTCAATTTCCAGCTGCTGAGCTGATGCGTTGCTTATGGTCCTTTACATTACCGGCTTCCAGAATATTCGAAAGAAAAGATAAATGTTCTGCTAATTCTAGAAAGTGAATACATAATATTTTTTAAACATGAAACATCTTGCAAACAAAGTATAATTAAAAGGTTTCGTAGATTAATGAGAATAAGGCAGACAATCTTTGATCAGTTAAAAGTTTTAAAGGTACAGTCACTTTAAACTTTGAAACACACTGTATGTATAATCTGTTTTTAATCCACCATTTTATCTAGGTATAGTGTGGAGTATGTGGCAAAAGAGATAATTAGAAGTATTCTTAACGAGGATAAGGAGGTATAGCTTACACAATTATTTATATATTATTATATAATTATTATTATTTTAATATTATTTAGATATTTTTTAAACAAATTGCATTCTTTGAAAAATCTGATCATGAAATACGTTGCAAAGTTGTCATTTTTCCTCAATGCACTTTCTTCAGAATAACTTTAAACTTTAATCTTTGAAAGTCTTTAAGAAATTAGATACGTTGTGCATCGTATTTGTATTAAAAAATATGCTCAAATTGTTGTAAACCAATAAAATTTTGAATAAATAGATTCTGAAAAAAGTTGGAGCGGGGGGGGGGGGGTTGCGAATTGTTTTTTATTTCTGAAAACTCTTTAATTTTGTTCAAGTATTCCACTAGTTTTAATCTAAACTTTTTAAGATCTCATTTTGTTTGAAAAAGTTCTTCCATTTCCTGGACTTGTTTCTTGCTGAATTAAAATATTTTTTCAATCCGGAAATCCATTAGGAATTAGGAATTAATAAGAAAATCTACTTCATAATTTAACAAAAAAAAGATCATTCGAGTTTTGCCTTTTCTCCTTGAAAATCTTAAAGATAGACCCAAAAACTGTGTAATAGAATGACGGTATTGTAGCAATCTTATGTTCATTTGATTTTGTTAGAAAGCTTATAGTTTTACCAATAGCATGGAAATCAACGCATCAAGTTAACTTGGTCTGTGAACATTGCACAATACACAATTTCATGTATACAAGACCATTCAAACCTTTAACTTGAATCTATCTTTCTATTCCACAGTTCCACGGGTACTGATGTATTGTGTCACCATATTTCTCTGAAAATGCGGGAAAACAAGATGAAAAATCTGTAATGTTACATCATCTATACGCAACATCCCCCCTACTGAACTTCTGACCTAATAACTTTCCGACCTAGTGCAATATCGGACCTATGCCAGCTGTTTATTTTTGTATTATTTGAGGGTTAGGTTAAGTTTAGACAGTTTCTGAGCCTAGCGCTGCGGCTAGGACAGGCTAGGGGGCCGAGCGCCACGGATAGGACAGGCAAGGCTGGGCGCTGCGGCCACAAGTCCATCTAACAGTTGTAAAAACACGTGCCAGTAGGTCGGATGTGTAGTATAGCGGATTTGGCGTAGGTAGGAAGTGAAGTATGGCGGATTTGAGTAGGTCCAAAGATACATCATCGAAAAATCTATGAGAGTTACACGTACAAATTGTAATCTGTATCCGGTTTCTTATTAAATAAAATCCTGGGTCCACCTTAAAGAAAATTTAATCCAAAGCACTGAGTAATTGGAAAATAAGATATTCCTTTTAAGAAGGATTTAGCCTGTAATCTCTACAATAAAGCTCTTTGCTCTTATACATATACTTTGCTTGTCTGGGTGGGTGGGTGTCTGTTTGTTTGTTTTATCCAATAAACGTCAAAACGGCTGAACCGATCGGGCGCAAATGTTTTGCGGGACCTCACGTGGTCGTGACCCCGGGGAAGGTTAATATGATGATTTAATTTTGAAAAATTTGCCTCCAACAAAATTCGTTTTTTAGAAACTTTTGAAAGTACACGAAATTTTTATTGTAAAATCCGAGAAATTTTGTTTTGTTTTTGTTTTACAATGAGAAAATGTTCACAATCGAGAAAGAAGATATGCGCGAAGCGCTCTAAAAGCCTAGTATATATATGTCAGCTATAGCTGGCCAAACGTCTAAACCGAATGAGCTGAACATTTTTTTAGGATTCCCATGGGTACCCGGGGGGTAACATATATAGGCTAAAAATTTAAATTTTTTAATTCAAAATTCATTTTTTTAATTTTACGGGCAACACCGCCCATCGGGCACCTTAGCTATAGTACTATCTATATATACTTTGCTTGTCTGTTTGTATCCAATAAACGTCAAAACGGCTGAACCGATCGATAACAAATTTGCTGTGGGACCCCAGGGAAGGTTTAAGGATGATCTAGATTTCAAAAATTAGATGAACAGTGAAGACGGACAAGTTTACTCTGTTTGTATACTGCAATTTTCTTGTTTTACTAAGTACAACCGTATGCAGGCAAAACATAAACAAATAAAATGTGAACATAGCAGACGAAACTTTTACAGATTACAGCTTTCTCAGTATGTATCACATACTAAATCAAAGAATTTTTTGAAAAGACGATATCGAATTTGTCACTGAATTCCCATGATTATTGGGACACCCTGTAGCAGACACACAATTTTGCATGAAATGTAATATACGAAACATGATTATATGATAAACTTTTCAAATTTGTGTTTAGTCTCATGAAACTCAAAATAATTGATTGAATATTTAAACCGTACATATATGGACACCCTTAGGGCTTGATATTTAAGCGACCCTTCTATAAGAGAATGCAAAATCAAAGGGTTTTATTTTAAAAAATAAGATTTTTTACTCGTTGGTTAATTATATTTGAAAGGCTACCGTTGCAAATCGTTATAGATAAAACGAAAATTAGAAGATTGCACAATGTTGCCAAGGGGGGGGGGTGCAACAGCAAAAAAGGGGAACCCCCCCCCCCTACACAAATGCTCTTGTACGCCCCTGTTCGTAATAGATAATAGTTTAAATTAACGAGTATGACTTCAAATAATTCAAACAGTCCCTGAAAATTGGTAATCTCCTAAAACTACCTTTAAAAAGTTTTGTTTAGGTACTCTTTTTGAACTTGCCTTGATGGCGGAGGAGCAAATTAAACATCCTTTTAAAATAAAAAATCTACTTTATTATACTAAGTTTTGTTTAGGTTGTTTTGGCTCCAGTTCATCATCGATTGGTTGTTGTAATTCGAACCCTCCTACCCAGAATATACTTTTATATTATGCAAAAACGAGCACAGAAAAATAAATAATTTTTGTAATTTTAAGTTATCATTTTTCCACATTATAAATCTATTTACAAAGATATTTGTTGCAGAAAATTTGAGTTTGAGAAGTGTAATCAGTTCCTATTCAATTAGGATTAAGGTTCTTCTCAAGATATAAACCCACCTAAAAAAAATTATTAAAATGGTTGGAGTTTCATGGTCACCCAGCACCCTGCATTTCTCAGCTGATGGATCGATAAATAAGAGAGAGAGATAGATAGATAGATACATAACTAGTTTTCTGTATTGTGTGTATTCATTGAACCCTTAGGGATATAATCTAGTCACAATTTATTTTCTATCTTTTTATGTAAATTTAAAAAAAGAAAATTTTGTTTTTCATTTTTATTTTTCATGTTTGTAATTCTTAAAATTCATCCCTGTAAACTTGGGATTTGGCCAAGAAAAAAAACTAGTCTACTATATAGTATAGATTAGTTTCTATTTCCTTTAGGTGTTACAAGTGGGGGATTATTTCGTTACAAACCACCTTCAGACTTCAGTGTACAAATACATACATCATCACAGCTTGTATTAGCGCAACAGCAATTGATGCAAATTATATTTCATAATAAATAAGGTTTCTAAGAAGTACTAAATCAGAGCTTACATTTGATTAAAAACGTAAAAAGTAAATTTGTTTTTATACAGTACTACATAAATGTTTTTTATTTCTATTTTTTGCCTGTATGCAAATAATAAGAATGCAATTGTTTTTTTAATCCAACTCAATTAGTAAAAAAAGACAGCTGTGTATTATTTTCTTGCTATATTGTATACTTGATGGTAATTATAGTAAATTTGGATAATTTTCTAGAAAGAAAAATATTAAAAAACAAAAGCAATTCATTAGTTGCAATTTGTTGTATACTTTTTTTACTCATATAACTTTAATAAAATCTGAGTAATCTCTTTGCTATTTTAAAATTTGATTCTTTTGAATCCTTTAGTATAAATAAAAAACGTCTTAAAGCAAAATTATTAAAAGATTGAGGAAACTTGAAGATGAAACTTTTTGCATTGACAGCACATTTTCTTCGCAAGCCAAAATTTTAAAGTTGTATTAGCTTTTATGTTATACAATCTTTTACTTGAATATTAAATATGTCCAACTTAAATAAATACCCCACTGTGCCCCCTCCCTTCCCCTCACAAAAAACTTCTTTTAACCACCTTTCCAATTTTTAAAATTTCTACGAGAGATAATTTAACAAAGAATTTCCATGCTTTTAGTAGATAGATTGTACAGATCCTCTCTCCAGATCCTCTCTCCAACCTGGGGGGCTTTCAGTTCTCTTTCCTGATACACCTGTTACGTATAGAATCAAAATCTGCCCTATTCTAGTTGAATCTTTCTAATGTATTGTTTGTTTCTTTATAACTGGATAAAATTTCAATAGAAAGTGGACAAGATCACTGCTGCCATTTTTTCCACTATGATGAGGACTGTTTGTTAAAACAAGATCTAAATTATATCCTTTGTCAACTATAAATAAAATGATACTAATGAATTATGGAAAGCCGGAGCTCTCTGGCAGACTCTCCGCCTTTCATTCGCCTCGTACGACGAGTTAATCTTCCGTGTTCCTACAGTTCGTGAAAACTAACCTTCATTTCGGGTTTAGCCCAGGCCGATCATATTTCCTAATTTAAAAAAAAGTTGTATTTAATATCACTTTTGAATCCTCTGATCATTAATTGATACCTTTTATCTTTAAAAAATTTTATCGTGAAAAAAAAAAAACCATTTTTTTCAGACTACAAATGAAGTCGATGTTGCGGATTTCCGGTTTGTACAGATTTCAGACTAGACATTTTTCAGGTAGAAATAGGATTTAAAAAAATATTTATTTAACTAGCCCTCAAATCCCGTTAAATTTGGGGTTTTTTCCAACAGTTAAAATGAACAGTTTTTGTGGATACTTTTTTATCATTTTAAAATGTCTCATTGGTATCGATGAATCCTAAAGTTTTTCTCTACAATACTGCACTTTAACTCAACTACCATGTCTAGACGGTTACTTCTTTTAAGCCTGCAAAAAGACAACTAATTGTACACTGTGCAGTGTGCAGACTCCGATGCCTCTAAAATATATCACTTACTGAACAATCATCGCAAAGAAATTAGACCACAATGTTTAAAATGGCGGAACACATTAAATCTGAAAACAAACGAAAAGATATTATCGCATTAGTTTTTTTGTATTTTTTTTGGGGACATCTTTGATCGGTTTCAGGGACTTTTAGCTTTAAATGACATTTCAATATTTGACAAATTATTTTTAGATAAAGTTGTTAAAATTTAATATTTATTTTGCAGTACAAAACGAGTTGAATTTGATCTTTTTATGAAGTAAGAAACCAGCTGAATTTTTATACATATTTTGCAGTACAAAAACAGCTGAATTTTATATTTATTTTGCAGTACAAAACCAGCTGAATTTGATATTTATTTTGCAGTACAAAACCAGCTGAATTTTGATGTTTATTTTGCAGTACAAAATGAGCTGAATTTTGATTTTTATTTTGCAGTACTTAACCAGCTGAGTTTTGATATTTATTTTGCAGTACAAAACCAGCTGAGTTTTATATTTATTTTGCAGTACAAAACAAGCTGAATTTGATATTTAATTTTCAGTACAAAACCAGCTGAATTTTATTTATTTATTTTGCAGTACAAAACCAGCTGAATGCCCGAGTTGGATTTATTGGACTAGGAAATATGGGTCGGGGAATGGCAGAGAATCTTATACAGAAGGTAATTAGAGATCATGCTTTAATTTCAAGAAAAAATATGTACTACGTATTTCACAGTGTCGAAAGTTTTGATTTAACCTCACCAACTCTTTAATACTTTTTATAGCCCTAGACATTTTACATTTTAGAGCTCGAACTCACTTGTTTACATTTAAGAGCTCGAACTCACTTGTTTACATTTTAGAGCTCGAACTCACTTGTTTACATTTAAGAGCTCGAACTTACTTGTTTTAGCTTTAGTAGATTTGACAGTCTTAACAGTCGTCTTCCTATTCAATCATCTAATGGATTTCAAAAAAAAGAAGAAAAAAAACACTATTTTGATTTTTAAAGCCCAGTCAATTTGTTTATATGCAAGAAAATACGCCATTGTTCAAATATGAGAACAATCTCTTTATTTAAGTAATTCTTTAGGGACACTCAGTCGTAGTATTTGATGTAGTGGACTCCAACCTGGCGGAGATTGTTGCAAAGGGCGGAGAGGGCGCAGGATCTCCGGCGGAGGTGGCGGAGAAGTGTGAGACGGTGGTCACTATGCTACCCAACAATGATATAGTCAGGGCAGTTTACGAGGTAAATTCGACATTTACTCCTGTAAAATTAACCTTTTATTCTATTCCATTTCATCCAGACAACATTTTATTATGTTAAACTAAATTTGATATTTAGTTTTAAGACGACATTTCATTGTAAAAAACTGCACCTGATTTTCAGTATCAGACAAAACTTCCTCATTTTTGATTTGATATTCCACACTAAGACGACATTTAAACCTGTAGAACTGAATTTCCAAAACGGGATTTTAATCATACATTGTCATCTTTGTATTTGATATAATTATCGGAAACCCTGGCCACAAACTGTAATGAAACTAAAATATTATCGGAAACCCTGGCCACAAACTGTAATGAAACTAAAATATTATCAGAAACCTAGGTCACAAACTGTAATGAAACTAAAATATTATCGGAAACCCTGGCCACAAACTGTAATGAAACTAAAATATTATCGGAAACCCTGGTCACAAACTGTAATAAAAACTAAAATATTATCGGAAACCCTGGCCACAAACTGTAATGAAACTAAAATATTATCGGAAACCCTGGCCACAAACTGTAATGAAACTAAAATATTATCGGAAACCCTTGCCACAAACTGTAATGAAACTAAAATATTATCGGAAACCCTGGTCGCAAACTGTAATGAAACTAAAATATTATCGGAAACCCTGGTCACAAACTGTAATGAAACTAAAATATTATCGGAAACCCTGGTCACAAACTGTAATGGAACTAAAATATTATCGGAAACCCTGGTCACAAACTGTAATGAAACTAAAATAATATCGGAAACCCTGGTCACAAACTGTAATGAAACTAAAATAATAATAAAGAACAATAGGACGTCACCAAACCAAATTCCCGTGACAGATATTGAGACAAGAGAATGGATGTCTAGGGATATCAATAAAGGACTAGATACAGACAGGGTTTCCTAGATACAGACAGGGTTTACTAGATACAGACAGGGTTTACTAGATACAGACAGGGTTTACTAGATACAGACAGGGTTTCCTGAGTACAGACACGGTTTTCTAGATAGACACAGCCTGGTTTCCTAGATAAAGACAAGGTTTTTTTATATACAGACTGGGTTTTATTAGATACAGACAGGGTTTCCTAGATACAGACAGGGTTTTCTAGATACAGACAGGGTTTACTAGATACAGACAGGGTTTCCTAGATACAGACAGGGTTTACTAGATACAGACAGGGTTTCCTAAATATAGACAGGGTTTTCTAGATAGACAGGGTTTACTAGATACAGACAGGGTTTCCTAGATACAGACAGGGTTTTCTAGATACAGACAGGGTTTACTAGATACAGACAGGGTTTCCTAAATATAGACAGGGTTTTCTAGATACTGACAGGGTTTCCTAAATATAGACAGGGGTTTATAGATACAGACAGGGTTTTCTAGATATAGACAGGGTTTTCTGGATACCGAGAGGGTTTCCTAGATACAGACAGGGTTCTTGATAAAGACAGGGTTTCCTAGATACAGACAGGGTTTCCTGGATAAAGATTATAACAGGAGCAAACCTGAGATTCTCAGGTTTCTGTGGGATATCATCGTTTTCAGATTGGTTTCGTTTTTGTGGAATATGAACTGTTTTATACTACAACTTTTATACAAAATTGCATATATATGAATTTTCGTATTAATTTTACACAGTTTCATA